AAAAACAACCTGTGTTGGTAGGTAGATGTTGTGGAGAAATAGGTTTATTTTGAGACATTAAGGTTAAAAATCATAGAAATAATTCCTTTGGTGCATCACTGTCAATTATTTTTTGGTTGTGCTATAATATCTCACACTCACACCTTACCTGTCCTCTAAATAACTAGCATTCATTGCCCTCTTCAGCTCAAGCTGGACCACTGCTGACTGATTTTGATAGCTAAGTTTGCATGCATCATTTTATTTCTTTATTTCCTCTTCCTTTTCATTACTACTCATATGGATCATTATTCAATTTGATCCTAAGATATTATTAGTTCAAGTGAAATAGATTCAGTGTTCTTGTGATTTCTTCTTCTGGGAAATGCTAGTTTTTTTTTTTCCATAATCCCATTGGTGAGAGGAAAAGTTGTTGTTTGTGACCCCACACCCGACACAAGATTTGTTCAAATTTTGGGTTTAACTAAGATTTCCAAACCAAAACCAAAAATGGTGAGAGGAAAAGTTGTTTAATTTGAAATTACTTTCTTTTTAAAGAAAAGTTGCATACTTACTTTAATGGGTAGAGATTTGAATTTGCAGGGTTGTGGTTACAATTATGCTCTGAAATGGCAGTCATTACGCTTTACAGTTGTACAAGCAACGCTGCAGAGATATCAGATAACTGCTCTGCGTGCTCACCCCCATAGCCCAACGGCATCCCTCTCTATGCTTCTTCCCCCTTCTTCAATTCCTTCTCTTTTTCCATCTCTCTGTTCTTCAATCATTCAACCCCAAAAACAATTTATTTGATTTCCCTTTCCCTTTCCCTTTCCCGTGGTTCTTCAATCGTTTTCCTTCCCTCCCATGGCGACCCTTTAGCCATTGTCGGCAGCTCCAGCTCCGAGTGTTCTTGTTTAGTTCTTGGGCATGGCTATTCGAGGAGTCGATTTCAAATGGTAAATCTCTTCCCTTCTTTACCCTTATCGATGGTTTTTAACTTGCTTCAGTTTTTCCGAATTTTTCAGGTACGATGGGTTCTTCTTGTCAATGCTTGCTACTAGTATGTATCCTTTGTCACTCTCTATCAGATCTTAACATTGCTTTCTTCAATCCCGCAATCCCGCTATTGTGACAATCTTGTTTACTCAAATGATCACACACCAGCAATAGACCCATTTTATGTCTTGTTTTTCTTTAACTCTTTTGCTTGTTAGAATCATTGTGAGTATCAATTGGAGAAGGTACAATACCTGTACATATCCTTTGCACATATGGATCGTGGTACGTGTCTTAACACATATATTCATGATTTCTTGCTTGCTTCTGGTGGCTATGCATAACAACACTTTCTTCATTCAGGTTGATTATACCTCTGTGTTTGCTTTTCGCCTTCTGCTGTTCATAGATAATGCACTTTCAGCTGGAATGGGATTGTAAGACCTTCTCTTCTTATACTCACTACTTGTGGGGAAGCTCCTAAGTTCCTCAGATTCATAAGGGGTGTCTTGTTCTTACTGTTGAATTTAAATTTCGTTAGAGATTTCGGGTGGCAGCAGCGATATGCTCGGTTCTGTGGACGAGTTGTGGTTCTTTCTATTCTATCTCTATTGCTGTACCCCTTTCTATGTGCGTGGACTGTAATTGGGACTCTGTGGTTTAGAGATGCTAAAGATTGTGTAAGCTATATTATTCCTTAACATTGCCTAAATCATGTGTTTACAAGCTTTGATTATTTAGTTCGTGTTGTTAATGCGTGCAGCTGCCTGAAGAAGGACAGAAATGGGGCTTCCTCATTTGGTTGCTTTTCAGCTACTGCGCCCTCCTTTGCGTTGCCTGCTTGTCAATTGGAAAGGTTTATCAGTTTCTGTCTACTTCTCCGTTCTTTTATTTGATACTAACCGGTTTTCTTGTCGCTTCTTAAACGGTTTTATGCAGTGGTTAGCGCGTCGACAGGCTCACTTGTTCCGTGCGCAACAAGGCATACCGGTATCCGAATATGGGGTAAGCTTGGAACTGTTTGTTATTATAACCCTTTTACTCTTGAGTATCTGTTTAGAATCATTAAACATTGGATTGATTAGCAGTTTTCTGCATACCAGGTACTGGTTGATATGATTAGAGTTCCTGATTGGGCATTTGAAGCTGCAGGATTGGAAACACGACGCATTGGCCAAGATGCTACTGGGTACCATCCCGGGTTGTTCTTAACCTCGGCTCAGGTAAACGTCTGAAGCTTAACTCGATGTGGTATAGAAACTTTCTGCCCTTGGCTATGGATATGTTGTAATAACATGTATTCGAGTCGTACCACTTGTCTATTTCTTTGGCTCTTATTGTAACAATCCAAGCTCACTCCTAACATATATTGTCCTCCTTTTTTAGTTTTCCCTTTCGAGCTTCTCTACAAGGTTTTTTAAACGCGTCTGTTAGAGAGAGGTTTCCACACCCTTATAAAAAAGGTTTCATTCTCCTCCCCAACCGATGTGGTATCTCACAGTCCACCCCCCTTTGGGACCCAGCGTTCTTCTGGCACACCGCCTCGTATCCACCCCCTTTCAAGGCTCAGTCTCCTCGCTAGTAATAGTAGATATTGTCCTCTTTGGGTTTTCTCTTTCAGGCTTCCCCTCAAGGTTTTTAGAACACCTCCCCCCTTCGGGGCCAGCGTTCTCATTGGCACTCGTTCCCCTCTCCAATCCATGTGGGGTCTCACGATTATGAACCAGTGGTTTGGTTTTGTGACTGTGGTCAATAGTGGTGGTGGGCATGGAGTTCTTAGAAACGGGCTATTTTTGTGCAGAGGGAAGCTGTGGAAGCTCTCATCCAGGACCTTCCAAAGTTCAGGCTAAAGGCTGTGCCAACAGATTGTAGTGAATGCCCCATTTGCCTTGAAGAGTTCCATGTAGGGAATGAGGTAAACTCTTTGCTTCATATTTCATCATTCATCTTAAAATGTTTACATACCCTCTTCACATTCATTTTTTCCTTTATGCAGGTTCGTGGTATGCCATGTGCTCACAATTTCCACGTCGAATGTATCGACGAGTGGCTTCGTCTGAATGTTAAATGTCCTCGATGTCGCTCCTCCGTCTTCCCAAATCTCGACCTCAGCGCTCTTTCAAACCTACATTCAGACACAGAACAAACATCTGCCATTGCTTTCGTAACAAGCCAACCTTCAAGTCTGTCGAGATCGGCTCCGAGCCACCGCGCATCTCATACCGAAAACACAGCAGGCCTCTATACCGACACGACCTTAGATGCCATGGAGAACGGAAGCTCACCCATTTTGAACCATCTTAACCAGAATTGTTCAGCCCCTTAAAACTTTCTCCCCTCATTCACCACTGATAAACCAAATTCACTGACATCTACACCTAAAAACCAAGCCACGGAGGAAAGAATAGTCCACGTGGGCTTCCTCCTGGATCCTGCAGATTCCTCACTACTTGACAAATATTATATATATATTTTTCTTTCAATGTGAAAAATATGTGACATTAATCATAAACATTAAAGCTTATTAAAAATTATGATATAATATTTCTAAGCATAGGTTAAAATAAAATATTTTATTCTCAAAATCTCATTAAATAATTATATGATTTAATCTCATGCATGTGCATAATCTTATTAAACATCATATTGTATTTATTATATCATATGGTTCTAATTAAATAAACGGATGAAGATTGAACATCATATTGTATTTATTTTGGATGAAGATTGGTTTGTTGGTTAATACAAATCAAATTATTTTGATAATGTAGGGTGGGAGTTAAATAAATAAATAGTTAATTATTTATAGAGATAATGATTGAACCTTAAAATTATTGAGATCCTAAACCCTTTTTTAAAAACATTATTTTATTATGCTGTCATCTTTGGGATGTCAATCTAATCCTTGATTTTATATGTATTAATTGATTAATTATATAACTCAATATACTTCCAAAATATAATATTACCGTGTAAGTAGAATTTAAATTAATTAATGTTTATGTATTTCAATAACTTAATAACCTTCAATATTAATATTAGAGGTTTTTTTTGAAAGAATTAAAATTTCATGTATTTTAAAATTTAGAAATTTATTAAACTTTTAATTAATTAAGTTAAATAAAATTAAAATGAGAGGACAAAGGAAAAAAGATTCCACTATAATGTACGGACAACTATTTTGGCACAGTCAGAAAACAAAACACCGTCCTTTATTTTTTTTTATTCTAATTCAATTTAATTTGAAATGTTATATTTTTTAATAAAAGCTCTAAACTCAAATTGAAATATATTTTTAAAAAAATTCTTTTTAATAAATTATGGATAATACTGAGAGTAAAAAAATAATTGAGATAAGAATCTAAATTAGAATCTTAACAGAATCTATGTTTTTAATAATTAATAATTTAATAAAAATTATAGTCCTTTTTGTTTGTAATAATATTTTGTAAGACTGTGAAGTGGAACTTTTTATATTAAAAAATAATAATATTAAATAAAAATGTGAAGTAATTTATATTATTTAAAATGATTAGATTTACTGAAGACAGAAATTTAAGGGACCCAGGGCAACTTTTTTGGAGGTGGTGCTTATTAATAAACAAACAAATAAATAATAATAAAATAATGATGGGGGGATAATAACACGTATCGATTATGGTAAATAGGTTGTAAATCTAGAGAGAGAAACACGTGCGAAGGGAGGAGAGAGAAAGGCCGTATACGGAAGAGGACCATACGGCTTTGTCCGACAAGCCCACGGATCCTTCCCTGTGATGTGGGCTCCACACCCAAACCCTTACCCGCCCTCGTCTTCTTCTTCTTCTTCTTCGTCGTCGTCCTCGTCGTTTTCTTCTGGTTCTGTTCCTTCACCTAACCCTCTCTTTTTTTTTTACCCCCTTTTACCCATTTTACCCTCGTCTCCCATTTTCTGTTCTTCCCATGATTTTTTGTGCTTATGGGGAGAGGGGGAGGGGCAAAATGGAAAAAAAGAAGAAGGTAAGGGGTGAAAAGGGGGAAGATGAAAAGGGTTGGGTTCATAATCAAAGAGGACCCGGGGTGTCCCCTAAGATGAGGATCTTTACACGTTATGAATGTAAAGGGGCATAACCCAAAGGCCATTGGTATTAGCTTTGGCTTTGCCACAACACCGAGACAAGACATACAGACAGACAGAGAGAAACCCGCCAGCTCTTCCTCATATGCTTTCACTGCACCACCAGAAACAACAACTACATCTCAACCGACCCTTTTTCCCCCCCCTTCCCCTTTTACCTCTAAACTTCCCATCTTCTTCTTTTTTCCATTTCTCTCTGTTTCACCTCCCAATTTGGTGTTCTTGAGTTTGAAAGAAATGACCCTTTTGTTGTTTTCTTCTGCTGTGTTGTAGATTTAGATGATTATATGTATATGGGTGTGTCTAATTTCAACGAAATCTGGCTCTGTCTGTATCTGATGCGTGAGTTTGAAGGGAGTTTTCTTTTTGTTTTGCTGGGATGACTTTCTTTGTCTTGGTTCTTTCTTGCATGAGCATTGGAAAGGGAAAATGTAGTTAGATTCTGTTTTTTTCAGCTATAGATCCATTGATTTACACAAATTTCGACTCGATTTAGAGTGTACATTGATGAGATTGAGGATATTGATTAAATTTGGGGACACCCCATGAGGAATTTGAGCTGGTTCAAGCCAATTTCCATCAATGGGAAGCCTGGGAGGAGGCTTTCCCTTGGAGAGTACGAGCGGGCTGTGTCGTGGTCTAAGTACTTGGTGTCTTCAGGAGCAGAGATAAAGGGAGAGGGAGAAGAGGAATGGAGTGCAGACATGTCTCAGTTGTTCATTGGCTTCAAACTTGCTACTGGAAGGCACAGCAGGATTTACAGAGGCGTTTATAAGCAAAGGGATGTTGCAATTAAGCTGATAAGCCAGCCTGAGGAGGATGAAAACTTGGCTAACTTTCTTGAAAATCAGTTCATTTCAGAGGTGGCATTGCTGTTTCGATTGAGACATCCCAATATCATCACTGTATGTTTCATTACTTGATACCCATTTCTTGTGGGTCTGTGTTTTTTTTTTTTTTTGATGTCTGATGCACTGAACTTGGGTTCTGATAACTTCATTTGTTCTCTAAACTTTGATGCAATGCCTTAGCTTTTAGCATCTCATCACTGGAAGATGAGAGAAAAATGGCATCTGTTTATGTTCATTTCTTAGGACTTTATGTAATTTTTGATTCTTGATTGAATAAGATTGATCTCCTTGTGCTGTTTGTGACCTGCATATTACAAAGAACACTTGATGAGATTTCTTTTACTGGAAACAGTTCATTGCAGCTTGCAAGAAACCTCCAGTTTTTTGCATAATCACGGAGTATATGGCGGGGGGCTCGTTAAGAAAGTATCTGCATCAACAGGTGCCACATTCGGTTCCGCTGAACTTGGTTCTGAAACTAGCACTCGAGATCTCGCGCGGGATGCAGTATCTTCATTCTCAGGGAATACTCCACAGAGATCTCAAGTCAGAAAACCTTTTACTTGGTGAAGATATGTGCATTAAGGTAGCTGATTTCGGTATCTCATGCTTGGAATCTCAATGCGGAAGCGCAAAGGGATTCACCGGAACATATCGATGGATGGCACCGGAAATGATCAAAGAAAAACACCATACTAAGAAAGTTGATGTTTATAGCTTTGGCATTGTCTTGTGGGAGCTCTTAACTGCATTGACACCATTTGATAACATGACTCCTGAACAGGCAGCATTTGCAGTCTGCCAGAAGGTAACAATCACTTTTCTAGTTTTAGCTCGGTTGATACCTATTTCGTTCGTGTTGATATCTATTTCGTTCGTGTGTTCGTCGTGTAACTGATTTGGATCATGTCTGTGCTCTACAGAATGCAAGACCACCTCTGCCTTCAGCTTGCCCGGAAGCGTTTTGTCATCTGATCAAGAGATGCTGGTCGAAAAATCCCAACAAGCGACCGCATTTCGACGAGATTGTTTCGATTTTGGAAGCTTATATGGAGTCTTACAATGAAGATCCAGAGTTTTTCTGTCATTACGTCCCTTCATCTAGAAATACTCCATTACAATGCTTACCAAAATGTATTACAGAACAATTGTGTGCTTCCTTGAAGCCTAGGAATTCATCATCTTGAATCTTGTATGATTGCCAAGTACAGCTCCTTGTCTTGCATGAAATTGTTAGGGTTTTAATTAAATCCAAGTTTTATGGATTTTTGTATTTTAAAAGAATTGTTTTGTTTTTTGTGGTTTATGAAATTTAAAAAGAAAATTGTTAACAAATTGACAGTTTGGCCGAGTGGTCTAAGGCGCCAGATTTAGGCTCTGGTCCGAAAGGGCGTGGGTTCAAATCCCACAGCTGTCATGTTACTTTTTTTTAAAAAAAAATGGGCCTGAAATTAATGAAGCTCGGCCCAATATCGTGATGGGTGGGCCCATGAAGATTTGGCGGGGAACATTGGAAGTGATTTAGTGAGGGATTTGCGGTGTTCGAAATTCTTATCTCTGTTCATTTGCTTGAATCCTTAATTCCATCGGTTCTGCGATCTGCGTCTGTGATTATCGGAAGGTGGAGCTCTTCCGATGGCGGCCGAGAATGTGAGGAATTCAGGTCGGCAGATCTCTTGCATTTTTTTAAGATTGATTTTCTTTTTCTTTCTTGGTGTTGTGATTGTCTATTGAGGCATCTAGTTTTTACTGTTCTTTGTGATTAGTGGAGGAATTTTATGGCAATGGCAGCGACTCTCCTGCCAATCTTAGAAAATCTCCTATTGAGAAAAATGGCCTTACGAAGGAAGAGATAGATTAAGCGATTAGGGTTTATTCTATAATTTCATATATGCTCGATTGTTTCATCCAAATCTTCGTGTACCATGGCTTGCGATTTAAGAAGCTTCAACTCAAACTTTCCAGCCTTCAGCTTCTGCACCCACTGCGCCTTAGAACTGCCGTCGATTTCAGGTGCTGGAGTGGCTTTAATAATTAAGGCACCTGTCCAGTATAAATTCCTGTTGAAGTTGGAGATTCTAGGAATTCTCTTTTATTTTCATTGAACTTCATGTCATAGAGCAATATTTAAGTGTGCAGTGAAATCCTCTGCTGTTGCTCATCCTTCTGCGTTCATAGAGGAGGTTACTGACCTTCCAAAAGAAAATCATATTTCTGTAAGTAGATAACGCCTCTCAACTGTAAGCTGCTTATATTTGTTCGTGTGCTTTCTATGGCAGTCTTTTGATGGTTTTGTGTGTGCCGATCTGAAAACCTTAGATTTCTGAATTTGAGTACGGGCAGAGGAGAGATACCCTCAAATAGTAGTTCTCATGCAGGATATCAAAGGAATCCCTCCCACCCCTAGAAGAATACAAGTATGTCCTTTGGCAACTTGCATATCCATCTCCTGAGTTGATGGCCTATCCATTACGACACAGAATTATGGGATGACGATTCAGCATCTTGGGGCAGCAATATATCAAAATATATAACCAGGCAATTCGGGGCCATGGGTTTCTCCTCGGCTACCACTGCTCTCGGTACTAGAAGCAGCTGTTGTCTAGACTGAAACTGTGAAATCCAACGCAGTTGGAGAAGGGAACGAAACATTACTTATAACGGTGTGGAAACCTCCCCCTAACAAACGCATTTTAAAATCGTGAGGCTGACGACGATACGTAACGAACTAAAGTAGACAATATCTACTAATAGGGGATTTGAGATGTTACAAATGGTATCATAGCCAGATATCAAGTGGTGTGTCGGTGAGGATGCTAGCCCCCAAGAGAGGTGGATTGTGAGATCCCACGTTGGTTGGAGAGTAGAACAAAGTATTCTTTTAAGAGTGTGGAAATCTCTCCCTGATAGACACGTTTTGAAACTGTGAGGTTGACAGCGATTCGTAACGAGTCAAAGAGTTGCTAGTAGTAGTCTCGAGCTGTTACAGAAACATTGACCAAGCCCAAATACTGTAAGTATACTTCTACAGCATTGTAAGTACCAGAGTGTCTATTCACAGAACAGTCTGTAAGAGCTGCTCATATATTTTTAGGTAATGGGTGTCTGTATGTGAATTGACATGTTTGTTAATATGCATTCCAAACAACGTGGGACAGCTACATTTTTCTCACATGGATACTTGACATCTTAAATATTCAGGGGTCATCTTAGTCTTATTCTAAATGAGCCAAATTATGTGTTTATTTTTTCCCCTTGTTGGCCAGGTGAGGCTGGAGTGGGGAAAGGGCTTGCTTCTGCACATGGGTGGGTTTGGATATTTATTTGAGAAGATCTGGAATACCCAAAGGACAGAATCAGACAGGAAAAACTTTAACTTTTAGTACAGATATTGGAGCATACACTTGGCTGTTATATTGTGGCGGAAGACGGCGGCGCCCACAACTTTGGCAGCCGGCGGCAGCCATTGTTTGATTGGACTCCCTTTTCTGGCTGCTAGCAATTGCAAAGCTCACCGTTCTGTAATTTTCAAGGGATTCGCTTTTGCTGTTGGATTATTGTGTTTGTCTTTATTAATGTTGTGATTACCGCTCCTAATCTTGGCGATAAGAACATAATTGTGATTGCCTTTCTTTTTCTTTTTTAATTCTACACTTAGCATTTTAAGGAGATTTAGAGTTAATAACACTGCTTTTATTAATGTAATTAGTATGAATTAGGAGTAAAATGTAAGCTGCTTTATAAACGAACATTATCAAAGAATATTATTAGACATGTCTACTTTTTTAATAAAAAATAAATTTCTAAAATAAATAAATTTAAAAAAAAAAAAAAAAAAAAAAAAAAAACCTCCTGCTGTACAAAGAAAGTCCAATATTTTCAATTTTAAAATCATTAAACCAACAAATAAACCTCTATATACTCTAAATTATCCAACTAGAACATTTTTCATAAAACTTAATTCTAAAAATAACATTTTCTAAAAATAACATTTTTCATAAAATTTGTAATGGTTGACAACTACTGTTGTTTCTTTGAGTAAAATACTTAAATTCAAAATTTAGGAAATGAATCCTAAAATTTTAGGACATATAAACACGATCAAGATTATCATGCTTCCAAATAACAACCACGATAATCATGGGTAGCAACCACTACCATCCGCTACCAACAATAACCATCATCATTCACAGCCGACGACCACTAACAGTGACCGAATATAGTGTTTTACTTAATAACTTGGCGATTACAATTCATAGAAGCATTTTCACTAGGAATCTAAACATTAAACTTAAAAATGAAGTTTGTAGAGGGAGAAAACATAACTAAAAAGAAAGAAAGACAGAAGGAAGATTATGCTTGTAATAAAGCAATACAAACGACCCCCCCAAGGTGGGTGGATGTTTGGTTAACCAAGAAAGAAGATAAGGAATCAAAAGAAACAAAGAAATTAAAAAAGTGGGACAAATTGTAAAGTTGAAGGAAATGCTTTCAGATAGAATAACAATAATAAATAATAATAAAAAGTTGCCAATGAAATTATGGGCCTACATCTCATTTTCTCTGCGCTTTCATGTGATGCACCAATTTTGCCTCTTTCTACGCATCAATACTCAGATCCTACAAACCAATCTTCAGTAATTTTCAATTGGGATTGGGATAGTCTACACGATATTTTGTCACATTTCTTCAAGCTTTTGAATCAAGAACAAAGGTCAAAATTAAATAGTTCATATTCAGAGATATATATATATGTATTGAAAATTATGAAAATAAATGTACAACATTATAACTCAATACAACCAATCACACATAAGATTTTGCCTATTTCTACTTGGTAAAGATTGTTTAACAAATTAATTATTCCAAATTAAGGATCATTTTCCGCACACCAACACCCTAAATACTTGTTAATTAATTTCTTTTTCCAGATTACGTTTTAGTCTCTTCTTCCCCCAAATCAAATCTTATTTCAAACCCTAATATTGTTCAGAATTGATGTGAGTTTTTGGTCATACCATTGACATTCTTCAATAAATCCGCCGTTTCTTGTCCGTACGCAATCGATTGTCTCTTCCTATCCGCTTCCTTCGACTGATTCTTTACGTGTTGTCCTTCGTCAGAGGCCGCAGGAGTGACATTGGCAGCCGTTGCCGCCGCCGCGGCTGCGACTCTGCTAGATTTTACTTTTCCGGCGGTCTTTTCGTCTATCTTTTCCTTTGAGACCTCGGCGATTTTCTCAACTCTCTTGCTTGGTGTTAAAAACACGAAGGTGTCCTTTCCGTCACTGTTGCTTCTGTATAGAAGGTCTCGGAGTTTCCATCTCTTTGACGAGCCCATAGAATTGCTCTTTTTGCATCTTTCGAGCGATTCTTTCGGCGACCAGACGCAGAACGTTCCAGGAAGGACTCCGTCAAGCTCGTCGGCCTCAGACGATGAGCACGAATTCGTCTCGCGCTCTTCGCTCATCAGTTTTCCCAGCGATGGACGATGAACTCTCTTCGGCTTCGGTTTTTTCAAATTTCCGTCGTCGTCCTCGCCGTCAACGTTGCTATTCTTGTCTATAATCGAACTGCTCAACAGGAGATTCGTGTTGATAACCGGATAAATCGGTCTAATCTGACCGTTGTAGAATATATCCTCGGCCGAGATCGTTACCGCCTGTGGTTCCGTAGGAGCGACAGAAAATTCGAACTCATCGTCTCCGATTTCATCTACAACAGACTCCGTTCCACCATTACCGTCGTGTATAGGTGCTAGATTGAATTCTTCCGGTTCAGTTCCGTGTTGGAAGGAAGACTCGGCGTCATTTTTCCAGTCGAAAATATCGGTATCAGAATCAGATTCTTTCCGGAATTCCTCAACAACACGGGCGGCGATTTCAGCAAATCTTCCGGAAGAGTAGCTGCTGAAGCTAGGAGAGAGGGAAAGAAGCAAGGAACCTTCACTGCCTTGCATCATTGAAGTCGCTGAGATTCTTGAATTTCCACTAATTGTCTGCAACCGTAACTTCCATTCTTTTGACAGAGAAGAAGAAGAAGAAGAAGAAGAAGAAGATAGAAAAAGAAGAAACGAGAGAGAAAAAGGAAATGACCAAAATGTAATGGTTGCAGATAGTCGAGAATGATATAATGAGCGGTCCTTTGGGAATTTTATTTTCCCAATAATATTTTTCACTTTTTGAGTTTTCTTCCGACAAATACGCGCCACAATTTCCACCTCTTTTATTAATGAATAAATAAATAAATAAATAAATAATAATTAA